AGGTCCTCGTTTGCTTGCCGCTCTACTCTTGCGCTGCCCTCATTTGCTTACTCGTTCGCTGGCTGCTCAGCGCGTGCGCCCGTACTTAACGAGTGCTCGTTTGCAAACAGCCTCGCTTGTTGTTCGTGAGTTGCGCAAGCTCAGAGCAAACTAACGGGCGAGCGAGGGGCTAAAATGAGGGAAATCCGAACCCTACCTACAGTTTTACGCCGACTCCGAACGGCGATTGTATTTTTATGAGAAGCTGTTTTTTCATGGCAGAAATACCCTCGGAGGTTTTCCATTGCCTGCCGAGGGACGATCGATGTTAAGAAAAAACCTTTTTTCTATATTTTTTTTTGCGATGTTGCTTTGACCAGGGCTTAAACCCAGGTGTAGTAGAAGCGCGCACTGCTTACGACTACACCACAGCGGCCGACGCGAGTCAAGGGTATACACTTTATATATATATATTTGCTAAAAATGTCTTTACACACATTATGGGTATTCATGGAAACGCGTAAATCCCTCGTAACCACGTAAACCTCGCAAATAATTAGATTTTTCATACAAAATTAAGTAAGTTTACGAGGTTTACATGGTTACGAGGCATTTGCTTGGTTTGATGAATCGCCCTATTATTTCGTAAGCTATATAACCGGGCTATCAATGGACAGTCATACAAGTTTCCACTTCAACTTGACCTTTGACGTACGTCAAAGAGAACATAGTAATTTTAATAATATTTTTTTTCTGTACTTTAAATACCTGCTTGGTTTCTTTCTTATTATGATTTTTTTGGACCTGTAATTCTTAACCAAATTTCCGTGATTTGCTTTTGATGTTACATATATTCGCTTCAGTCATTTCTAATGGAGCTATTTGGAGAATTTATTTCTAGCAAAAACTTTAAAAACAGTAATTTTGTTTACTTGTCGGGCAATATTTTTTTTCATACGGTTATACGCTGGATCCTTGGCTAAAAACTTCTGTGGTAAAACTGTCCCCCTACCTCTCCCTTCTTGAATATTTAAAGTCAGAGAGTAAGCTCCTTCAACCGGGATTTCCAGCAGAAATTATCAATGTCTGGCTATAAAGAGAATCGATGCTCAAATAATTAAAAAGCTATAGGTCTGACCTTTAATTAGATAAGAATTACGTAACTATCTGAGACCCTCATCACCCGTAATTCCAATAATTCAAATACTTATAAAAAAACGGGGTGATTTTTTTTAATAACAATATTCTGATCCGATTCGGCTGACAGATACGACTTTGAAAACAAATTTTTGTTCAAAATTTCTGGAAAATAATTACTTATTTTTCATTTCCACCTATTTAGCTCGCTATAAGCTCAAATTTTTCAAACCAGTCGCAGAAGAAAGTATTAAAAATTAATTACAAAAACTAAAATCGAAAATAGCTGATGATGATGATCGCAGCCAAAGGAATGAGAATGAAGAATTCTTTTTAAAAAGCTTTAGAAAAACCTGACACATTCAGTTTTGGCTTGTAAGCGCTGTTTCAACAACGATGTCGCCATTATGCTAGATTCTAATTGTTTCTTGAAAATACTTGACGTCCGCATTCGCATCGGCGGATGTCTAAAATTCCACATTCGCAACATTCCTAGTTTACTAATTCAAAATGTGTTAAAAAAAATTTTTTTTAAAAGTATGCGTATTTAAAAAAAAATTTTTCTACATCTTATTATAAAAGTGATTTGTGTTATTTATTATTACCCTCTGAAGGTATTATATTCGTTTTTGGTTTTAAAAACTATATTTTAACAAGATTTCATTTTTTAAATAAAATATTTGTTAAATCGATTTCATGTATTTTATTAGAAAAAAATTGGCGATTTTTTTCAGAAATTGCGCTTTTTTTAACAGTCTGGACACACTGGTGACTAATAGGCCTATCGCACTTTCAAAAAGTACAAAATATCGTAAAGAAGTACATTTGACTGTACTTCGAAGTACGAAGTACAAGAGCGAAAAAGGAAGTATGTACTGTACTTCCGAAAGAAGTACGGTTGGTCACATTAGACATACAACATTAGGGGTATTCTCTGAGTCTTGCAAAGCCCTTGCATGGTGCACAGATTGTACGGATTGCACGGTAAAAACCGGTTTTCGTATGGGACAGCTTTGCAAACCGTGCAATCCGTGCACCGTGCAAGGGCTTTGCAAGACTCAGAGAATACCCCTATTGTAAATTCATAAAAGCGTTGTAAAAATACACATGACGCTGTTTGCAAGTGGACTACTCAAATTGCGGAAATATTCGAATTTTTGCTTACCTGTGCATTTTAAAAACTGTTCAAAAATAAATACTGCCATAAAGTGTTTTTTTCTTTCGAGATAAAAAACAGGGTTTAATACTATGTCTCCATTGAGAGATTTACCTATAAATATTTGATAAATCCAGTTGCTAAATCATAACCGTCTCCATTGCCACAACGAGATATGTATGTTTGACGTTCACATTTTTAAATATTTGACGTTTTCTTATGTATGATTTCATAAATATAGTTGCTGACATTGAAATACAGACAGATAAAAGGAAGGTACCAGGATCGGAGATTCATTATGTGAATTCTTATTATTATTCGTGGTAAATATGTATAATATATAGTTTTGAAAATGTAACAAATAGTACCATATTCGGAACCATTTTCTCGAATTTAAGAAAAATTATCGAAACAACATAACATTTGCGTAAAGAACATTTTTTAAAGAGTTGTTGGGAAAATAATTCCTCTTTTTCATAAGATCGTGGGCCTTTGGCATATCATGAAGACCTTGCTAGCAAATATGCTTGAGTCGAATTGAGTTCTAGAGGATGGTTGGGGCAGTGTTATCAAAGCAGCACCATCGCCGAAGCGCGTAAAAGATTTTTAGAAAGCGAAGAAGACTCTGCATGATATTACCATAAAACATATTTTCTGAATTTTGTAGTTCTTAAAATAATATCTTCTTAATTTATTACAACCAAAGTTATGTAAATATTAATAATTTTCCTTTAAAACTACACTGAGAGAAAAATCAACCAAAAATTGGTTTATATCACCAAATTCAAACTTGAAAAGGAATCAACGTCATTTTTGTTAATATTAACAATGCCTACAATAACCTAACCTAACCACAATTTTGTTTACATTAACTAAACTATTGGTTGGCGATTTTTCGTCTGAATAAGTTTATGTTATGCACTTCACAGATACTTTTTCATAATTCGGAGAAACAAAACAAAAATTTTTATTATCCTTTTAACACGTTGCCTCTGACGGGGTTAGCAAATAACAGCATGCATCTCTACACACTCAGCTACCGCCGCTTTATAAATGTGTCTTCAAATGTTCAACTTGAATCAATTTTCTTCGTCGTTTGATTTGGTTCTGCACTTCACAGAGGCTTTTTCGTAATTAAGAAAAACCAAAAACAGAAAAAAATAAAAATTTTCTATCGTTCTGACGGCACTCGTACTGCTGGAAGCCAACAAATAATAGCAAGCACCAACTTGAATCACACTTCTTACAATCGGCTTATTGACTATGAAAAAATCAACCCATAACTTGGTTGAAAAAACAATTGTGCTTTTGGCTCAGTGTAACCAAAATATAAAAAACACGAAAATTCATGTTTCTTTCAATTGGCTATATTTCAATGTCCACAACTGTATATTGAAAATACAAATGTCATTTGACTTATGGCATGTGAATTTGTGGTTGCTGAACCCATCAAATTGTATTTATTGATCAATATTATTGAAGATTTAGGGAAGATTTAATTTAAATCTACTGCCTTTCGAGATTTAATTTTATATGGTAAATCTTAAAATATTTAACGTTAAATCTCGCTAGAGGGCTAAATCTTCATTAAATCTCACAATTGAGACATAGTATAAGATTTAATATTATAACGGCTGAAAAAATGCTAATAATTAATTTTTTGACACCTTTAAGTTAAATTATCTCAAATGCTAGAGCAACCTATTGAAATTTTAATCTGAAAATTTTATGACTAACTCCTTTTATTGGTGGGGGTGCTACCTCTAAAAAGTATATGTCGAAAATCACGCTAGTATAGCTTTCGAGTAATTTGAATAGTCATTATTCTTAAGTGAAAAAATAAAACTTAATATTAATTATTATCTTCAAGCGAAAAAAATTAAAATTATAAAATAATCATTATTTTTGATCGATAAAAATTAAAATCAAATACATGTATATTATTATTTTTAATTTTTATTGGCTAAACTCAAAAAATAAAAATCATTTTAGACTACCGTCGAATACAAATATGTGAGTATAGTTAAAATTGTTTTAAAACGCTTACAACATGCTGACTTTTTTTGGTTAAAATTTAAAAAATAATCATTCTTTTACATGCCTGCTTTACTTACATACAAAATAATCTCAAAGATGGCAAAAATGAACAAAGAATACACATTTTTCTCCATGTGGAAAAATGTTCAACTATGAGCGGTTCGTCCTCCTAAACAAGCAACCCCTGTTGAATAAAGGTTACATTTTCGCTATTAGATAAGTATATATGTATATTCATTTAATTGAACATTGTCAAGAAATTTTACTTTTACGAGTTTTTTGCGGCAGATCCCCGTAGCGTCCCGCCAGATTAACCCAACCTAACCTTTAAGTTGGTACAATTAAAAAAAAAATAAGTAAACGGTTCTACAAAAACAATAAGAAATTTGTATGTGAAAATCTTTGCTTTTAACCGGCTTCAGAAAGGAGGAGGGTATCTATTCGTCGAAATATTTTTTTATGTATGTTACCGGATAACTTGGGGTCTAGTGAAACGTCTAGCACATTTTGTGTATATTTGGAATGTTTACCTCTACTGCTTTGGCACTAATTGCTAGAGTCTCATATTTCATTTATCGGGAAACATTTCACTTAGAAATTGGGCAAACAAATCGTTAAAATATAATGACCGCTCAGTATATTAATAAATCGTTATTATGTATCGATATGTATGTATTTATTACCAACTTACTCATTATGTGGTATATCCTCATCTTGGTCAGCGACCACAGCAAATACATTTAGTTTAAATAACAAAACGAACAAGCACAGCGCCAAAGCGCCAATATGCTTGCGATCCATGGTGAGGTGGTGGTTGTGTCGTGTGTGTAAAGGTTCGTAGGCGTCTAGCTGTATGATTTGCCTGGCTGTTGCCTTGTTTTTTGGTTATTTAAATTTGAACGCTGCACAATACATAGAATTTTCTGTTGGATTGTGTTCCTTTTTTTGTTCGTGTTCAGTTGGCGCTTAAATGCAAGCGATATGCGTTTTAGCAAATTGCTTTTGACGCTTTATTTACGGCCTTTTATTGTTGTATTGTCTGCATAGAGTACATTATTGTTTTGTAGACCAAGCGTGTAAGTGTTGATGATTTGTTTTCCCTTTCACAGTTGTTTGTTGTTACTTTCAATTTATGGTTGTCTTTGCATTTTTGTTTTATAATGTTTTTATTATTGTTTTTTGTCCACCGTTATATTATACCTAGTTGGCTTTTGTTTTTTATTTATTGTTTGCTTTGTTACCTTTTTATTGGCTTTTTGTTTGTTTTATTGTTTTTTTTTATTGGCTTTGTTATTTCGCTTCGTTTGTCACTTCACACGCACTGTCCTTGTGTTATGCGAAGCTCGCCGGTGCGTATACGTAATGCTAAATGTGTGTAATGCTCGGCGCGACCATTCAAACTGGCGAAAAATGTGAACAAGTGAACCGTGAAATTTAGTTGCACAACGGGTGGCGCTGCGGTTGGTGTTTGTTGCACTGGTGCGGCTATAAGTTATGTGTACTATTTTACAACGCTCTTTTCAAGGTGAGTTTTTTTCATTGCATATTAAACGGCTTCAGTTGAGTGTATATGCTTTAAATACCGTTTTTGTTTTAGTTATCGCTATGGCTGGTGCATTTGGTATGTTTTTTGAGTACTGCATGCAGTTCTTTTCCCTCAATTTACATTCAATAAACACTTTAAGAGTTATAACCCTGATTATTTTTCTACGCACTCCCGCTCGCAATGCTATAGTTCCTAGAATATCGATACCAATAAGATGCCAACACTTGGCTCATCCGCATGTTCGCCATATTAGCTTTAGAAATCCAGTAAAACCTAAATAGATTTCTCATGGATCGTATTTATTTACATGGATATGTATGTACTATTTTCTTCTATTTGTGGTTGTTAATATTCTTTATTGATATATTACCGTTTATTGACACTCTTACGTAATTAATGATATGTTACGCGCACACATACACTTATATTTTATGTTGCATGCTGCACTATTCGTTACGCTGAGAAACTGCAAGTAGAGTAAAGAGAAAATAAATTAATTTTAATTTAATTAAAACGTCTTTCAGACGGTGGTCTATGTGTAAATATTTAAGTACGTATGTACATTAGGGTTGCCCTTATTTCGAAAATAGCTCGGATTCTCGGTCTCACCCCTAGAAATGTGTGAACAATAGGGTGGTCCAAAAACAGTAAAGTCGGATTTGTAACCCTCTCACCCCCTTGGAGTGTTCTATATCGAAAAAAAGTATACACCTATTTTTATATTTTGAAATCAAAAAATATTTATAGGTCGCTCAAAGCGCTCAAAGTTTTCTATGTATATTTATATGGGCAAATTAAATTTTTCGTATAAATGGTATAGAGTTCTTGAAAATCGATATTTATCGATCGGAAAGCTCGGGTTCTCTTCAGAAAACTTAACAATACCCAATTGTTTATTTAACCATTTTTTAACACTAACGATTTTTATTGGTCGCCCCATTGCATTTTTCGGGGTTTTCGTGTGTTTTTGGCAAACCTATAAATTATAGTTGCGATTAAAAATATGTTAAATAAATAATTGGATATTTCTATTGGGAATCTCCTGCAGATAAACAGAGGTTTCTGGTAGAAAAATATTTATTTTTAACTATTCTAAACCATTTCTACGAAAAGTTGTTTTTCCCCATATAAAATAATGGAAAACTTTGGGCGCTTTGAGCGACCTCTAAATATTTTTATACCCGAGCGCACTTGTGCACAAGGGTATATTAATTTTGTTCACATAACGGTTGTTTGTAACAGCCAAAACGAATCGAGACAGATATAGACAAATGTATACATAAATGATCAGATGAAAAAATAAATCGATTAAGCCATGTCTGTCTGTCCGTCAGTCTGTCAGTCTGTCCGTCTGTCCGTCCGTCCGTCCGTGTACACGATAACTCGAGCAAAAATTGAGATATCTCAACGAAATTTGGTATGTCGTCATCATAAGGGGGGGTCTCATCCGAGGCTTTGCCTTGCTTCTTCACTGGAAGTGGTTTTTACGTGGCGGGTCCCAAGCCCAGCGCACAACCCATTGCTGGGACGGGGGTGGTTTCGCAACCAAATACACGTTTATATAGCGAGCCGCTTGCTCCAAGCATACACCCGCTTGCAGCCGCACCTACTGGTGAACAGACACTGCAGACTTCAGTGAGCCCTTAAACCGAATAAGTCAGAGTGGCCCCACCGAAGCTCCCTCTCTTTCTGCCGTGACCCAAGGCTCCACTCGGATTGGTTACCGCATCTCGCACATGGGTTGCTCACGTTGCCCAGAGTGGGCGAACGAGGACGCAAGAGTCGGGATTGAGTATAGCCAGCGCAATGAGTATACCCCATTGCACTCCTGGTTTGCATGTGGGTTTCCCTTAACCCAAGGTAGGTTGGTATTGAAAATGGGCGAAATCGGACTGTAGCATACCAAATGGCCGACAATTTTTAAAATCGGACAATAACCACGCCTACATCCCATAAATCGGTAATTTTCGGAAATACGAAAACTGCGATATTTTAGTAACTACTGAAGATTATTCACTAAAAATTGATATTTACAACAATTTTTAGACGAAAAATAAGAATATTATAAATTTTTGGAAAATGGGCGTAGCCACGCCCACTTATCGTTACATGTGTATATCTTAGGAACCACTCCACCAATTTCTTCCAAGCTTGGCACAGTTGTTAGCCTTGGTACAGCATACAAAATCGCCGAAAATTTTTAAAATTGGACGATAACCACGCCCATATCCCATATGACGGTAATTTAGAGAAATACAAAATCTTCGACAAATAAGTAAATATTGAAGTTAATTTATTCAAAATTGATGCCTGCAACAATTCGTTGCTAAGAAATACGTTTATGGTAAAATTTTGAAAAATGGGCGGGGCACCGCCCACTTATGATCACATATATGTATATCGGTAACGGTTCTACCAATTTGTACCAAACTCGGTGTGGTTATTGTGCTTACCACATGAAAGCAAAGGATTGAAAATTATTGAAATCGGACTAAAATTACGGCCGCTTTTCATATAACGGTAAATTTCAGAAATGCTTGAAATTTCAATATTTCGAAATTGAAGGCTGCTAATTTACTCAAAAGTGATACACCCCGGCTTACCATCTAGCGGTAGGTTTCGGAAAGGTGAAAAAACATATATTTAATATCTGCGCCGGGTATTTAATGTTCGGCTCCGCCCGAACTTAGACTTTCTTACTTGTTTGATTTCAAAATAAAAAAATAAGGGTATAATTTTTTCGGTATAGAACAAGGGGTGAGAGCATAAAAATTCCGACTTTACTTTTTCACATGCATTTTTGGACCTCCCTAGTGAACATCCTATAGACTAAACTATGCAAAATTTTAGATCAATCAAAATAGATTTAGAGGTGGCTCAAAGCGCTCAAAGTTTTAATATTCAATATTTTTCACTCGACAGACTCTTTTTCTCTTCAGGAGACTTTCAGAAAAAAACACTCAATCGTTTATTTCAGAGATGCTCAACAAACTATATGAATCGATTTCGTTTTGTTGATGAGCAAAAATTAGAGATGAAACGATACTAGTAAATACAAGTACATAATCGATACTTTTCGTCCGATACCAAGTAATTTTGTACTCGATACTTTAGAACCGAGTACTGAGTAGGTATCGGAAAAAAGTACTTGTATCGAAACCCCAATTCATTGACAGTTTTATTCCCGGACTTTTATTTTTTAATCTAATTTCTTTGTGAATAGTTTAGTTGCCAATGAAAACCGCAAGAAGGTGCCAAGGTCGGGGTGACGCCAATTTTGACAATTTTAAAAAAAAGGGCGCGCGTTCTATTTCTTTCGTAGCGAATGAACCTGCAAATTGGATCGAGCAAGAGTCAGAACGCGCTGGAATTCACTCTTTTACATGCTGGAAAGATTTTTGGATATGTCCAAAATTTCGTCTCAACTTATACTAGATGCAACAGACAGTCCTGAAATCATAGCAAAAAATGAAATAGAAATACTGAAGCAAATAGTTCAGCTACTGAAGCCTTTCGAGTTCGTAACCAAAGAATCTTCAGGACAGAATTATGTCACACTTTCCAGGATCATACCTATGGTTAACTGCCTAACATCTCAAGTGAGTAAATTTTCTACAACTCTTGATTGTGTCACCCAACTACAAACGAAACTCCTGGCGGAGTGTAGTATAAGATTTGGTCTCATTGAATACAACACCTACGCAGCTTTAGGAACTATCCTCCATCATCGCTGCAGGATGCGAACGCCTGCGGTCGGACAATTTTTAAACTAAAAAGTCTTATTCAAAAATACACTAATACCAGCTCCGAAGAAGACGTTGTTAAAGAAGATTTTGACTTTTGGTACCAACATAAAAAGCTTGCGATTGGACAAAAACGAAAACGCTCTACAAAAGGTGATGAGTTGTAGCTTTATTTATTAAACCCCGTCTGATCTTGTAGACCCCTTTCAAAAATTGTTTGGTTTCGGTGGGCCCCCTGCTGATAAATTTTTAAATATTCCCAAAGCTCGTAAGAAATTAAATGTGAAAATGTGAAAATTAGATCGCGGGTGAATTCAAAAACTAAAATCAGAGTGGCCAAAATAAAAGTAAAATATTTTCTATTTGTCAATGTTATTGTGGCTTATTAACATTTTATTTGTAATATTTTATTGAACAATCGTGGTATTGTTTATTATAACTTCTACCGCTTAGACTATGTCGCTTTCTCAACTTTTCCTAACAAACAATCGTGGTACAAGGCTCAATAAATATTTTAAAATATTTTCTATTTATAAAAAGATTGTGATTACACACTTGTAAGTTTTGAAAAATAGAGCTCGTAAATACATCAAAATACTTTCTCGCTCGGAAGAGTTATATTTTTTAAGAGCACTGCAAGCGCTAGCTATATTTATATTATCTTCACCATAAACTCATCAAATGTTCCGCTCACTAATGACTTTGCACGTGGAGTATATGTAAAATAGTTTATTTGTGTTAATGGCATCATTTTTATTATTAACGCTCCGAGTTTTAAAATGAGGCGAAAAATATTTTTTCACGTTTTTTGAAACACAAAACTTAAAACATCAAAACGGCTAAGCTTTTTACGCCAAACTTTTAGTTAAGAAACTGACAATGGAGAAAAGAGCGAGTTTAAAAAATCGATGACAAATAACCAAGCAAGCAAGAAGCACAAAAAGTGTTCCACCGTCTCATCATCTTCAAGGCAAGATGGGCAAATGGACTTGTCGTTTACGCCTATCACAGTGACCAGTCAGCAGTCCACCAAGTTGTCTGTAGTGTCATCTGCTCATTGAGAGCAAAAAATCAGATAGACCTTGTGAGATTGAAGGCAACATGAGTTTTGCCCACCTCGATGCCTCTCAGTCATTTCTGAGCGAAGTATTCACCCAGTTTCTGATGGTGGCTTCGATTGCCGAAGGTGGGAGTGCTAAAACTGGTTGCGGACCGAGGAATGCCTGGTCTGAGCAAACTCTGGCCAAGTGATCAGATGTCTCATAACGAGGTACTCCAGAGTGACCTGGTACCCAGAGTAAAACAACCTCGTTATGTTCACCATCATATTTTAGTCGAGCCTTGCATTGCCGAACTAGTTTGGAAGTACTTAAATAGAGGGCTGGTCAATGCATTAAGTGCAGCTTGGTTGTCACGTAAACTCCTTCTCCTCCACCTATGTTCCACCACGTAGTCCATGGCTTTGAGTATTACAATTACCTCAGCCTGGAAGACCGAAAAGTGAAGCTTATCTCCATTAACCTCAAAAAAGACCCCAGATCATGACCCAGAGTCAGTTTTTGAGCCATCAGTGAGGATTCGACAATATGTGAGTCTGGTCTGAGCGATGGAATCAAACCAGAATTCAGTCTCAGGGAACTCAACATTATAGAATCTCTTCAACAAAGGTAATGGTGGCGTACTATCCTGTAGCATTGAAAATACACAAATGCTTAAATCTCTG